CCCCCCCCCCCCCGCCCCCGAAGAGAAGCCGGAAGTTTGCCATCTTACTGGTGGGGGCCCTTCACATTTAATATACCTAACATACCGAACATCATAGCTTAGCCTAGCCTGTGCTAAATGTGCTCAGAACACTTACATTAGCCTATAGGTGGGCAAAAATGTCTAATATAAAGCCTATTTTATAATAAAGTGTTGACTATCTCATTTAATTTGTTGAATACTGTACCAAAAGTGAAAAACAGAGTGGTTGAATGGGTATAGAATGGTTTTAAGTATATCGGTTGTTTTCTCTTATGATTACATGGCTGACTGAGGGCTGCAGCTGGCTGCTGCACAGCATCACCAGGAAGTATCAGACCGCATGTTCCCAGACTGTGAAAAGATCGAAATTTAACTTCAAGTATGGTTTCTCCTGAATGTATATTGCACTTGCACCACTGTAAAGTTGAAAAATAATTAACTTGAACCCACTGTAAGTCAGGGATCATCTGTACAATCAGGAGTTTAATGATGTCATCAAGGCCCTAGATGCCTTCCAACTCTCCACTCTGCCAGTCAAAGTGGAAAAGCTTACCTATTATACAACCTAAGATGGAGTTGTGTTTTTAGAGTATAGAAAAAAAAGATGTGAGAAGATTTTACAAAGTTCTTGGACTTGTGCAGCACATAACTCGTTGTTTCTCTACTTAAGAACCTCCACCTTCAGAATAAAAAGGACACTTCCCTCAAGTAAGAAATTCTACTAGTTCTCTAGGGTTTTTTCCCCTTTTTCTCTAATTTGTGTGTGTGAAACTTTTTCACTTTTGCTTTTTCCTATATTTTGGAATCTGGAATATTTTTTAAAGACCTTGTCTGCAAAGAATGTTGATGACTCACGGTATCTCAAAAAAAAGTGATTAATCAAAAAACAAAACTTAGCAACTTCATGGGAGACTATATTATTAAACGACTCATCTGATAAGGGGTTAACATCCAAAATATATAAAGAACTCATATGCCTCAAGACCAAAAAAACAAATTACCCAATTAAAAATAGAAAGGAGGATTTGAACAGACACTTCTCAAAAGAAGAAATACAAATGGCCAACAGGCACATGAAAAGATGTTCCACATCAGCTAATCATCAGGGAAATGCAAACTAAAGCCACAATGAGATATCACCTCACACCAGTTAGGATGGCCACTATCCAAAAAACAAGAAGCAACAAATGCTGACAAGGATGCCAAGAAATAGGAACCCTCCTACACTGTTGGTGGGACTGCAAATTGGTGCAATCACTATGCAAAGGAGTATGGAGATTCCTCAAAAAACTAAAAATAGAAATACCATTTGACCGAGTAATTCCACTCCTAGGAATTTACCTGAAGAAAACAAAATCCCTGACTCAAAAAGATATAGCTGCACCCCATGTTTATCACTGCACTATTTGCAATAGCCAAGATATGGAAGCAACCTAAGTGTCCGTCAATAGATGAATACATAAAGAAGATGTGCTACATATATACACAATGGAATATTATTCAGCCATAAGAACAAAAGAAATCCAAACATAGATGGATCTAGAGGGCATTATGCTCAGTGAAATAAGCTAGGCAGAGAAAGACAAATATCAAATGATTTCACTTATTTGTGGAATATAAAAACAAAGCAAAATAAAAGGAACAAAACAACAGTAGACTCATAGACACTGAGAAGGGACTAGCAGTTACCAAGGGGGAGGGGAGGGAAGGGGAGAATAAAAGGGTGCAATCATTCACAATCACAATATAAGTTGATCACAGGGACTGTTGAACATCTGTGATGTACATTTGAAACCAATGTAAGATTGTATATTTTAATAAAAAAACAATTTAGCAACTTCAAATCATTTTTGGATACTCCCTCTACTCACAGTGCACTGTCTTCAATACTGTATGTTTTTATCTTCTGAAGCTTTCTGGGCCAATCAGATTTCTCTGTTTAAGAATTTTAGCAAAAACACGCAGAGGCAGATTTGGAAGCTGTCACTTTAATGGCAAGGCCTCTCATAAGAGGCCCAGAATACTGCTGTTGAGGTTCCTGGAGAAGCTCTGATCCCAGCGTTTAAGAAGCTTGGTGATTTAACTTCTTTGTATCTATTGAGGTGCCCCAATATTCTTCCAGTAACATCTCTTTTGGCTAGCATTTTGGTTACTTGTAAGAAAAAGAAGTTTCGATTAATTACAACTATATGAACTTTTGT